TGAGGTGCGCCAACATAGCGACGCTCATCAAAAGGCTCCTGCATCACACTGACCTCACGGAATCGAGGCTGTGAGGCGCGAACAGCCGACGGCTGGATGCTCTCGTGTCGGACGTAGCCTTCCGGCACTTCTCGACGAATAACTTCTGGCCGCATACTGTACGATCGCGCTGAAGCATACTCTCGTGGCGGACCCATCTCCTCGTACTGTGGCGCAGCGCGGTATTCCACCTCTACAGGACGGCGAGAGGGTTCTCTCTGCCTGTACGGGCTCTCAATCATTTCAGGCTCCGAGGCCTCAACATAACGTCGAGGAGGCGGGGGCATTCTCTGAACAGCTTCTTCTTCGTACATTTCTGGTCGTGCCGGTGCACGCATCGTGGGCTCCCGCGTTACAGCCCGCTCGTAGTATGGCTCAACTTCCACTCGCCTGCTAGGTGGTGCCATCGACTCTCGCGCATCCATTGGTGCCGCATAGTACTTTTGTCCATACTGATCCACCACAATTCTGCGTGGCGGCGGAGCCATGAGCGGCTGAGAGGGCATGTATTCATGTATAGGTGATCGCGAACGTTCGCGTACGTATCTGGGTGCGGCTGATGGGCGGGCTGAGGCTTCGCGGAAAACGGGCGCCTCGGCGCGTTCGACAAATGCATGCGATGCTGCGCGAATCTGTCGAGGCTCTGGCGCTGCGTATATCTCGTTGACGCCACCTGGCGAGTAGGGGCGTCGAGCATATTGCAGACTTGCGACCCGCCTGAGGTCCTGTTCGTCGCGCAACGATTTCCGCTGCGGCGTGCGTATGACGGTCGGGGACAAGGGCTCATCGTACTCGCGGTAAGATCGTGCCATAGGTTCCGGGTCGCGGTAGTAGACCGGCTGTGTTCTGGGGCTGCCTTGCGCAGAAACAAGCTCTACCTCATCAGGATGAGGCTGTAGCGCACGACGCTTACTAGGTTGAGAGTCGGGGTAAGCCGCGAAAGGAGGTGGTGACTGAGGCTCTTCCTTGATGTACGGTTCTGGCGAGTTGACAACGCGTTTGTTGGCCTGCTGCTGACGCTTCTTCTCGTCGCGCTCGCGTTTCTCTTCCCGTCTCCGCTTGCGAGGGTTGTGAACTGGTGCTGCGGGACCGGTCGGACTTTGACGGCGTGATCTGCGAAACGTTAGCATGATTACAAGAAGGAAAATAGATGGAAGACAGGAAATTGGAATAGAGATATGCAAGGACAGCTATGACTGATCTCAAGGCAGCAGAGATGGTGACCCATAATACAGCGACGCTCGCTACCAGACTCAGGGTCATGCCACAACCTGGATGGACGAACCTGTCGCGAAGCAGGTCGCTGACTCAATGTGCGAGAAGAGAACAGAAGTGAGAAGAGAAATCTTGTAGTATCATACCCGTTCGTGCCGCCATGGCGGTTGCGCTGCCGACCCCTCAAGGGTTCGCTTGGACCAATCTCGGCTGGAGGTGGAGAGTAGTCTTCCTCCTCCTCGCCTTCCTCGTGCAGCTGTGCAGGCTCAGGCTCATAGATTTCTATGTCATCGGCCGGCTCATAAGCCTCTTCGTCGAGGTCGATCACAGTGGGCTCGGCTGGGCGAGAGTGGACATTCACTTGCTGAGCTGTGGGCTGCGCCTGTGATGTCAGTGGAGCTGCATCAGCATGCGTGTGGTCAGCGCGATCAACATCCTCTGAGGACCAACTGTTCGCCTTGCTAGAGTAGTACGAGTTTTCGTCAAATGACTCAACGTCGTCGCTGTTGTTAGTCGCAGACGGTAAGCCAGATACAGGTGGGACCAGTTGGTGGGCCTTGATCAAACACTGCTCGACGTCGATGAGAGCTTCTCGCTCGTCTGCATCGTTGCCACGGCCCTTTTTATCGAACTGGTCCTTCAGTGCGCGTTCTATCTGCTGCCGCTTGAGCTGCTGTTCCGCCTTGACCAGGTGTTCGGATTTTGTGAGCAAGATGGGATCGATGCTCGAAGAGGACGACTTGGCCGAGTAGGGTCGTTGTGTAGGGGGTATAGGAGACGTGGGAGGGCGTGCTGAAGATGCTGGACGCGGAGGAAATAGTTGCGATGAAGATCCGTTGGGTGTGCCGTTGGTGGTGGGTCTGCTAGAGGCAGTCTGCGGAAGACGCGGTGCAACCTGTTCAATTACTTTGGGTGGAAGATGAATACGCGGGTGTTGGCTAGCAAGCACTTGGTCGCGTATCTGCAAAATCTTCTGGAGGAACTCGGCCTCGCGAAGCACCTCTGCAGACACTGCGCTGGCACTGTTCAGATGCGACGGCACTGCGGCTGTCGACATGGAAGCGATTGGCGCTGCCATCACAACAGACGCGAACTGACTTTAGTACTGAACACCAACAAGCGAGCGCAAGACTGGCGATTATACAAATACAGGCGAAACCCGCAGCTGTGCGGGGTGAGAAGATGATGAAGGGGAATGAGTGTATGGAGAGCAACACGCCAGCGAGTGGGCAATGAATGTCGGAGCCACGGCGCGTTTTGGTTTTCAGCAGGTGCACGCGCCAGCGCCAGCACTAGGCCCGAAGGGGATGGTGACTTCTCCATGTACCCATCACGCCTTCTACAACCGTGAATGCAGCAATCGCATCTAGTCAAGAGAAACATTGAAGATTGGCTTTCTTTTGGTCTGTGATACTGCGACAACGTATGACGCCAACACTATATCCTGTGCGTCATAACTCGAAACTTACACTAAGCAGACAACCTTTGGAATCTTCCAGCGCCACTTACCTAGACAACCCATATCCCACCTTTTCGATATCCGAGATCAATCATCATTTCGAGTGTTTGTTATCAAAAGAACCAAGATCATGCCGTTCAACACAGCAGCACCGCCAGAGACCATGGAGTACCGGTCGCAACCTCAACATGACTCAACAGCAAACAGCAACGCCCGGGTCGACGAGAACGAGAAGCCAGTCTTCTTTTTCGACATTGACAACTGCCTCTACTCCAAGAGTCTTGATATCCACCGGATGATGGCTGAGCTGATCGATCAGTTCTTCCAGAATCACCTCAGCTTGTCCCAAGAAGACGCCAATGAACTCCACTACCGCTATTACCGCGAATATGGTCTCGCGATTGAAGGGCTCGTTCGACACCATAAAGTCAATGCACTAGAGTACAACAGCAAAGTAGATGACGCGTTACCACTGGAAGATGTCATCAAGCCCAACCCCGAACTGCGCAAGCTGATCGAGGACATCGACACAAGCAAGTGCCGCTTATGGCTCTTCACCAATGCGTACATCACCCATGGTAAGCGCGTCGTCAAGCTTCTGCAGATTGATGATCTGTTCGAGGGCATCACTTTCTGCGACTATGGCTCGGACAAGTTCTACTGCAAACCGCATGTAGAGATGTACGACAAGGCGATGGCAGAGGCGGGTATCAAGTCGAACGAGAAGTGCTACTTCGTCGGTGAGTGCTCAGAACATCTCATATTATTGCACTTTACTGATACATTGATACAGATGACTCTTACATCAACTGCAAGGCAGCAGAGGGACGGGGATGGAAGACGGCGCATCTGCTTGACGAGAAAGATCCCGCACCTGCTCAGCCAGCAAGCAAGTACCAGATCAGGAGCCTACAGGAGCTACGGAAGATCTTCCCAGAGGTGTTCAAAAGTTCGTGAGAAGATGCATGGATCCATATGATGGGGATAAGCGATAGACTGTAGTCCGCACGGGCACACCATGCGTACTTGCAGAACTCTACGACCATGATGATTACGACTAGACGATAGACTAGATTCGAAGAAAGATAGAAGGTCAGTAAACCTAGACGAACTGTTTGGTTTGATGAGAATAAGGCCTTGCGGTTACCATGGCTCGGTATCTTATCGTTCGCCGAGGACCAGTGCGCGTCTCCAGTGCTCTTGCGTACCATAGCACCACATCTAGGCAGCAACAACCCTCCAACTCTTCCTCCATAAAAGAAAACCCGATATCCTCTACAGAAATAATCAATGAAGACACCAAAGCAATACCAGACCATGTCATCAACCACCCCAACGTCCTCCACCCCACCCGCCCCGCAATCCTCCGCATTACCCCCAACCCACCCCTTCAACACAACCACCACCAACGCAACCACGCTCGCCGACCCCACTACCCAACTCCCACTCGTCACCGACGCCGTAACCCCAACGCGAAAACCTCTCCTCCGCCTCGAACTCCGCGACCTCTCCTCAAATGGCACCCGCGCCTTCCTACGCCTCACACACGCGTCGCACGCGCTCGAACACGCCGTCGCGACAGTCCTCACACACCTCTACAGCGGGCTCCCCAAAACATGCATACCAGGCACGCGTTCCGTAACCCTTGTCCTCCGCGAAATGGACGGAGTCGCATACACAACCGGTCTCGATCTCGACGACGACCACAAGGAAATCTACCTAAACACGTCTTACATCTCGCACGTGCCTGAATCGCGGCAGAAAGAAGAGATACTGGGTGTACTTGTGCATGAAATGGTGCATTGCTGGCAGCATAGCGGGTTTGGGAGTGCGCCGACGGGGTTGACAGAAGGTGTCGCGGATTGGGTGAGGTTGAAGGCGGGGTTTGCGCCGCCGCATTGGAAGAGGCATGGGGATTGTAAGTGGGATGCTGGGTATGAGCGGACGGGGTATTTTCTGGAGTGGCTGGAGAAGGAGCATGGGGAGGATGTTGTTAGGAGGTTGAATGAGGGGATGAGGGAGAAGAAGTATGATGGGGAGGCGTTGTGGAAGGGGTGTTGTGGGAAGGGGGTTGAGGAGTTGTGGGAGGAGTATAAGAAGAGTTTGGAGGGGTGTGAGTAGGGAGGGTTGGGGAGTCGTAAGAGTTGGTAGGGATGTGGTTTAGGCGTGGAGTACTTTACACATGCAGGTTTGGAGGATAGAAAGACGCGCGCTACATCATGGACGGATTTACATACCACCAATACATCATCGCTACAACATCTACCGAACAGCCTCGACCTCCCATCTACCTCCGCTTTCTGGCAGGAGCAGCGTTTCTAGCAGGAGCAGGCTTCCTAGCTGGAGCAGCATTCCTTGCACCTGTAGGCCTGGACGCGGCCGCTGGTTTCGGAGCACTCTTCGCAGCGTTCCTCTTCGCCTCCCACTCTCCATGCTGTATATCAAGTTTTCTCCTGAACGGGTCGTCCTCCTCCTTCGCTGCTTTTGCAGCTTTCTCTTTCCTTTGCCGCTCAATTTTAGTCCTCTCTTGTTCTGCTTTCTGATGAGCTGCCTCGAAGTGGTCGTCTTCCTTCTTCTTGCGCTTCTCATCCTTTTCCTTCTTATCTTTCTGTTTCTTTGCGGCTAGACCTTTCGCTTGGTCTGCCAGATGTTGAGCTCTGGAGAACTCAACATCCTCTTTTTTCTTGCGTTTCTCTTCTTCTTCCTTTTGCTTATGCTGTTTCTTTAAAGCTTCGGCCTTCTTGTCCTCCTCAGCTTTAAGCTTCCTCTTCTCTTCCTTCTGGATTGCTGCTAGTCTATCCTTCTCTGCCTTTTCAGCTTTGTCTTTCTCTTTCTTCTGGGCTTGAAGCTGCTCTTTTTCTGCTTTAAGCTTCGCCTGCTCTACTTTCCGACGCTCTGCTTCGACGCGGGCGTCCTCCTTCTTCTTGCGTTTCTCTTCCTCTTCCTTTGCCTTCCGCTGTTTCTTGGCGGCTTCATCCTGCTCTTTCTTTTCGTATTTGACTAGACTTTGCTCTGGCTTCGGCTGATCATGGCCTTTCTTGCCAAATAAGACCAGACTTTGCTCTTGTTTCGGCTGATCATGCTCTCTCTTTCCAAACTTGACCAAACTCCGCTCTTGTTTCGGCTGCTCAGTCATCAATCGGGCTTCTATTCTCTTCTGACGTTTCTCTTCCTTTTCTTGGTCTCTTCGTGCGGCGGCTCCTTGTTTGGCGGTGGCCAGTGTTATGAGCGTCTGTTCTTTTGCAGGTTTATTAGAGGCTGTGCGCAGTTCCTTCGCTGCAGCTTGCGTGATGAGCTTCTGTTCCTTCGCTTCGGCTTGCATTATCAGCTTCTGTCCCTTTGCGGCTTCTTTGGCTGCTGTCTTCAGCCTCCGTTGCTCCGCCTTTTCGGGCGCTTTGGTATCCGTGGCCTCATGTTTCGCACTCGATCTGAACAAGCTAACTTGTCGATGTTCAGAGCTCTGTGTATGGCTTTCATGCGAATGGAATATACTCGCGCTAGATTTGTGATCCAACTTCTGCTCCTTCTCATGTGGCTTGTTGTCGATTGCGAGTTGCTTAGCTTCAGGCTTCTTGTCCTTGGCCGCTTCTTTGGCTGCGAGCTTCAGTCTTTGCTTCTCTGCTTCGGCGGCTTTCTTGGCATCAGAGGACTCAGGCCTTATGAGAGACTTCAGTTTCAACCTCTCCTCCTTGTCTTGGGCCTTCTTCTCAGATGCGACTCGTTTAGCTTCGAGCTTCTTCCGGGCCTCTTCCGCTTTCTGAGCATCTTTCTCAGCTTTCGCAGTACTTGGCTCCCCAGACTTATCGGCATGCTTGATGGTAAATGGAACAACTTCCTTACCAACCTTCTCACCCCCCTTCTTTTCGCTCTTCTCATCAGCTTTCTCAGCCTTGTGCACTATTTTCAGTTTCGAAGCTGCCTCCTTCGCTTCGGTTTCCTGCTTTGCATCCGCCTCCTTCTTATTGGCTGCTTTGGAGTCTGCGTCTGTACTGTCTGACTTCGCTCCACCGTTCTTACTCTCCTTAAGTTCAGCGACCTCATGTTCAGCATCCTTGCGTTCAGAACCCTTGTTCTCAGAATCCTTGTGTTCAGTATCATTATGATCAGCGTCCTCATGTTCAGCGTCCTTATGTTCAGCGTCCTTATGTTCAGCGTCCTTATGTTCAGCGTCCTTCTCTTTCTTAGCCTTTCGCTCGGTCCTCTTCTTTGCGATGATATCTTTCTTCGAGGGCCCTTTTTCGGTCTTGGCGTTCGTAACATGTTCGTTGTTAATCGTTCGGTTGGTAATCGTCTGATTGGTGATTGTCTGGTTGTTGACCGTCTTGTTGGTAATCGTGTGGTTGGCAATCTTCCGATTAGTCTCTGCGCTGTCTTCTGCGCTCTGCTTTCCTTTGGCTGGACCATCTACGCTCTTCTGATCTTTAGTCGTATTGTCATGCTTGGTACCCGAGGCAGCGGCTTCTTTCTGGGCGTTAGCTTCCTTCTTCGCGGCTTTCTTGTCTTGCAGCGCTTTCTTCCTGTCCTCCCGCGCTTTCTTTATCTCAGCCTCCGTACCCGCAGGTTGTCTAGCAGCATCTTTCTGCGCGTCGTCTGTGTGCTCCCTAATCGGTTCACCTGCGCTCTCTTCTTGAGAATTGGCGTCATTCCCCGCAGCCTTATTTAACCTCTTTGCCTCTTTCCTGTCCTTTCTTCCCTGCAAGACCAACTCTCGATTCATCACAGGTTTCTGCTTGGCACCGTTCGCATTCGCGCCGTTTCCGTTGTTGATGCCTTTGCCTTGAGCGTTGGGGCTATGAGGGTTCTGTGCAGCCTCCAAATTTGCCTCCTGCGCTTCTCGCCCCGCCTGTGCGTGTTGCCTTGGTCCTGGTGCGCCGTGCATACCCAGGTGTAGTTCATCACCACGTCCATGACTGGCGTGATCCATGTGATTCTCGCCTTGGTGACTATGACTTCTAGGATCGCCGCGCTGCATATATGGGTGTCTTTCTTGACGTAGTCCGTTACCATGTCCTTCTTCGGCGTGATCCGGATGATTTCCGCCTGGGTGACCATGACCTCTAGAATCGCCAAGTGGTGTATCTGGGTATCTTCCCTGTTGATGACCATGGTTACTGTCCCAATGGCGACCGTCTTGTCGACCCTGTTGTCCTTGTCTCGCATGATCTTGATGATTTCCACCCGGATGGTCATGACCTCTAGAATCGCCATGTCGCGTATCTGGGTATCTTCCTTGTTGGTGGCCATGGTTACCGTCCCAATGGCCACCGTCTTGTCGACCCTGTTGTCCAGGTTGTCTTGCGTGATCTTGATGATTTCCGCTTGCGTGATTAGGACCTCTAGGGTCGTCATGCTGCGTATCTGGGTGTCTACCTTGTTGGTGGCCATGATTTTCGTCCGAATGACTGCCATGTTGTTGATCATGATGTCCTTGGGTCTCATCATGCCCTCCAACTGCCCTGTTTCCATCGGCTTGCGGTCTCGCCATAGCATTACCAGCCTCCGTCCGTCGCTCGTCCTCCTCTTCCTGCATACGCTGCCTCTCCTCTTGTTTATGAGTCTTCTTTTCCTGATCAGCTCCCTTCTTGTGCGCTCGCTCTTCGTCTTCACTCTCCTTTCTCAATCTGTTCTCCTCAGCTTCAGTGGCTCGTCGAGCCTTCTTATCTTCTAGTTCGGCCTGGCGTCTCTGGACCTCAATCTCCCGCTCGGCACGCTTTGCTTCTTGCTCCATGGCATGTTCTTCCATACGATGGGTAGCTCCAGCAGCCGTTTCCTCCATCGTGCTGCGCTTCTCAGCTAAATGCATCTGCCTCTGGGCTTCTCGCTCCGCCTTTCTGGCCTCTTGTGTCGCGGAGCGTTCTTCAATGCGTTGGGATGCTTCCTCTGCTCTGAGCTCGGCTTGCTCCTGTGCTCGTTGAGTCTTTTCGGCCGCATCGAGTTCTCTTTGAGTCTTACGGGCTTCTCTGTCGATTTCCTGTTGCTGTTGTCGCTGAACGGCATCCTCGGCTTTACATTCCCGCGTTTCCTCTGCCCGTGTCCTTTTCATCTCTATATCATTCGCCCGCTTAGCCTTCTGGGCTTCACGGTCCATCTCGCGCTGTTCTTTCCGTCGTTCATCATCCTCGGCCTTTCGTTCGCGTTTGGCCTCCTGATCTTCCACTCGACGAGTCTCACGTTCCTCTCGATCAGCCTCTTTCTGTTCGTCCTTTCGCTCTTTCTCTTCCGCTTTCTTTTCATCCTTTCGCTCCTTCTCTTGAGCTTTTTTCTCGTCCTTTACTGCTTTCTCCTCCACCTTCTTCGCATCTTTCTCTTGCTTTGCATACTGGCGAGCTTCATCTGCTGCTTGCTTCCGAGCAGCTTTATCTGCAACTTCTTGGGCTTTTTGTTGTTCTCGCAACTGTTGCTGTTGGCACTGTGCCTGTTGTTGTGCCTGATACTCTTCATCTTCTTGAGATCTTTGTTGTTCTTGCCACTGTTGCTGCTGCTGGAAGGCCCGCTGCTGTGCCTCGGCCTTTTCGGCTTCCTGATCAGCCCAGTCCGCATCTTCCCTGGCGGCGAGTTCATCATCCGCATGCTTCTGCTGCGCTCGTTGCATCTGAAGTGCTTGTTGACGCTGTGCATATTCGAACTTTCGCTGGGCAGTCTCGCTGGCCGCCGCTTCTGCAGCTTCTTGCTGTGCTGCGAGCTCATCTTCTTCCTCTTCCTCTTCCTGCGCTTGCTGCTGCGCTACTTGTCTTTGTTGCATGGCAACTTGCATATTCTCTTGGCGTTTCCTGTCGATTTCTTGTCTTTGGGCTTGGATCTGTTGTCGCTGCGCTTGATAATGCGCTGCTTCGGCCGCGGCTTCGGCCGCCTCCTGTTCTTGCGCCATTCGCTCGTCTGAAGCCTTCTTTGCCAGTGTAGCTCTGATTTGCTCTTGGCGTTGTCGTTCCATTCCCTGGTCCTGAGAAGGCATCTGCATTTGACGTCCTGCTGACTCGTATGACCGTCTTTGAACAATCGGTCCACGCGCTAGATCGTCATAGTCGTCGGTGCCTTCCTCCTCCCCTTCTGTTTCTTCCATATATTCTTCATATTCGTCTTCCGCTTCCTCCTCTTGCATCGAATGCTGGTAGGGCTGCTGCCATGACGGCAGGCTTGTTCGGGAGGTTTGCGCAGTTTGCGGAGGAGACGGAGCAACGTCTTGGAAGTGCTGGTGTTGAACAGAGATATCTTGGCGCCGATCTGCTTGTCGCAATTCAGAAGGCGTATATGGATACACTGGAGCTCTTAGACTAGAGGTTTGGCGTTGCTGCGCAGGCATTGTCCGGGGATCGTGGTCATTCGGTCCTGGCCTCAGTGCTTCTGGAACCACGGAAGACTTTTGAGGGTAGCTAACAGGCGGTATCTGAACATTGCCAGCTGACTTATCGTATGGCAACCCGCCGTCTTCATGTTCGCTGTCGCTCTCAGATGTCTCATCGTCTGAAGCCCGTTCATAGTCACTGCCGTCAACGTCGCTGTCTTCCAAGTGCTCATCTTCGTCGTCCCCTGTACCTTCAACCTTGCTATCAAACTCCTCTTCCACGTCACTATCGTCTTCTACTTTGTCTCTAGTATCTTCATCGCTGACTTCGCTATGATACGACTCATCGGTGTCATAGTCATCAGTGGGAAGTCTTTGATTGCGTCGATCAATAGCGACATGAACAGCGATGGCTGGTTGTGCGACCGCCATGATATATGATGTTGTTGGTATGCAACTCGATTGGTTGAACTGGGAAGTATGTAAAATCAGGCCTGCCTGTATGATGTGATAAGTGGGTGTCTATTTGGGGTAAATATTGTCAGAAGAATGGCCTTAGAACATTGGCTACGTCTGGGATTTTATATCTGACTCAGAAAATATCCCTGAGAAAGATTGTGAAGCATTCGTTGAACGTGCAGTATTGATGTTTGTGCAGTATTGACGTCGAACTCGGACGTGTGAAGAGGCCCAGGTCATGACTAGATCAGTACCTCGCAGCCTGCGTTCGTCATACCCTCGTGTGTAGTCTTGAAGTCTGAGAACGGCGACTGACAATTTCTTCTTCATTCGCTTCAAGGGCACTTCAACATCCACATCACTATTGAATTTCTCTCCAGGTAACGAGCATAATGGCTATATGATCAGGCATTCATGTATGAGGCGTCGCACATGCTTGTTGTGATATAGCAGTTCTTCAACGGCAAAGGAGTGAAATCTAGCCTATCAGTGAAGCGTGTATTAGAAACACACTGCCCATAAATTTAGCTCTCTAGAGGTTTGCAGTTATAACCAGAGTCAACCACTGCGCTTAAGCAAATCGACTGGGATTAAACCACGTAGCCAGGAACTGCACAGAAGTTCTACCAAATTCAGAATCCCATCTTTATCACCAAATCAACTTCGCAGAGGCCACCTAATTACCATACAACAAGCGACCGCCCGCGACTTCATCACACCTCGCCGCGACCAACCATGTGCATCGGCGTCAACAGCGAAGTCTGCCCCGACTGCGGCAAATGCGGCAAAGCCCACGACCCCTATCTCCAAGGCGGTACAAAATGGATCCGATGTCCAGCCTTCATTAAATCAATGACAGGAAAGGAACCCTCAGGGCCCAAATGCGAATCCATCATGCGCGATCAGATTGGAAAGAAAGGGGACTGTGCAGCCTGCGTATCACGAAAGACATATGAGCAGAGGAAGGCAGAAGGGAAAATGACGCCAAACGAACAGAGACTGGAAAGAATAAGGCTGGCGAAGGAGAGATTTGACAAGGATGTGAAGACCAAGAGGAAGGAGCTGTGGGGAGATCAATAGGGCGGATTTGATGATTGAGATACTGGTGCTACTTGAATTGCGGAGGGGCTACATGTATATTGTGATGTTGCGATATGATACAGCAGTTATTCAAGCATAGAAGTGTGAATTCCAGCGTACCTGTAAGATATAAATCGCTCTCGAGTCCTCTAAATATCTACTTCCTCATATATACAGAATTACCAATCAAGAAAGCACCACACTGAAATACTACGAATAAACACATCGATTTGACATCGACCACGTGAACATACACCTCACTTCTGGCTCGCCAAATACCCCATCTTTATCCCAAATCGGCGTCACCGAGATCACTTATCCATTAAACCCACAAACCAGCAGATCTACCCACTACAGTCCAAACATGTGTACAGGCGTCCGCTTCAAAAAATGCCCCAAGTGTAACAGAAATGGTGGAAGGTTCTCACCCTATATCAAAATTGGCCAACAAACAACGCGATGTGCAGATTCCAGGGTACCAACACCAGCAGGAAGCAAGTACCCCACCAAATGTCATACAGTTCATTGGACGGAAGACCCCAATCCGGCGTCAGGTCGCTGTGCGGACTGTAAAAGCAAGGCAATCCAAAATCCCATGACAGAGGCGGACTTTGTGCTGGCGAAGCAGGCAGAGGAGGCTGAACAGGCAACAAAGAAGTCGAAGGAAGAGGCGAGGGCGAGGAACAAGGGGAAGGCAGCGGCGTACAAGGCTACTGCTCCTGCTAAGAAGGCTGCTGCTCCTGCTAAGAAGGCTGCTGCTCCTGCTAAGAAGACTCCTCGGTTCATCCCATCGCAGGAAGCTCTAGATAGAGCTAGGGCGACTGCTGGGAAGACTCCGAAAAAGATGAGGGGAGCTGTGGAGAAGGCTCCGAAGAAGACTACTAAAGCCGCTATCAAGGCTGATCAGGCGATGTTGATGAGCGCGTTTAATTGTCATCAGAAACAGGCTGCTGAGGCTAGTGCTAAGGGCGGGAATGCTGGATAAGAGCCTCGTGATCGGTAGATGCGGAGTTTTACATGGGAATAAGTCGGATCACTTCGTACTTGTATTGACACATGGTTGAGAATCAGGGTTAGCAACAAATACGAAATATTAGTAACACTCTCTATACGACTTGATGAACAACGATTGCAAACCCAGCTACCCATCTACCCGTCTACCCATCAACTTCCCACGCGCCTGAAACAAAAGTGTCCCCTGCAACCTTCACTCTCAATCACCTTACCCTGTTTAGCAGCAGGGGCCCTCTATTTAACCCCCATAGCTGTGGCGGTGAACAACAATTACGAGGGCCGCACACTGAACTCGAAGGCGCAACCCAAGTAGACCCCGTCTGCACCGACCACGGATCTACCTCCACACCCGCAATCCGCTCGAACCGTCTCCTCTCCTCTATATACACCTCGTTCTTCCAACTTGTCTCCCAAGCCTTGCGCAAATATGCTCTCGTTTCCTTGATGAATTGCTCTCGGGTCTGACGCCTTGGGAATTTTCTCTTATCCCCATCCACATTCGCATTTTCCAGGATGATGCGTCCAGCCGACGCGAGTAGGTAGTATGACTCCTGGCACGGAAAACAGCAGGGTCGGTATGTGAAGGTTGGAAACCAGTGAACTTCAAGTTCTCTGCCGGGTTTGTGGAATTCGCCTTGCACAATGTATTGGAGGACGTGGAACACATCTGCGTAGATGGTAGATAGCTCCTCAAATAGCTCCTCCGAACTTCTTAGACGGGCATTTTCGGAAGAAGAGAGATGATTGAGCTGAGTGAGTAGGCAGCGGGCGATGGTGATGTGGAAGTGATAGGAGTATTCTTTTACTTCGTCCAAAACGGCGCGAATGTATGAAGGAAGACGATTTGCATCGAAACGCGTATTGCGATTGGATAGACGGTCGATTACGCTGATACCTTTTGTGCAGGCGGCTACGCAAGCCAAGTCATTCTTGGCATGCTCAGCGTCATCGGCGCGTTCTCTGTGTATCGAAAGCTCAGTGAGGAGAACATGAGCATCGGGCCAGTGTGGTTGTTTGACGATCTGCATCGTGTCTTGTAGGAGATCCTCATGGGTGCAGCCTTCAATCGTGAGACGGCGGCAGCCACGGATGCCATCTCGTATGGGTTGTAATAGCTGTTCTTGTGTACGCCGTGAAGGAACCTCGCAATTTCCTTCTTCATCAGTGTTCGGACCTGCGTTCAGTGTGACGCGTAACTCCACCCCCCAATCTGGTACTTTCCCGTGGCCATGGTACATCCTTTCAGTCTCCAATCTCTTGCAGAACTCGCTCAGGTCCGACAACAGCATCACTATCCTGGTTGTCAAGGAGCGAGAGGAGCGAGAGGATCCAAGAAACCGGCCGAGCTGAAAGACGAGGTCCATCTCACAATGCGGGAAGACCTTTGGCTCTTCTTCGCTCAAACTGAGGTGCGGCTCAGGTATGCAGCCACCAGTGTGGCTGATGGAAAAGATGTGGATCGGTTGGCTGGGCCCGTGGAACCAGTCTTGTATATTGGCATTCTGAACCTCGACGCGCACGAAAGTGTTGCTGTTTGACAGGAAGGGCTTTGCTTCATCGTAGATCTGCTTGTTTGCAAGGAGTATATTAATGCCAAGACGTCCCCGCTTCACTATGGGTGCCCCCGCATGCAGGTTTGAGTATTCGTGGATAGTATAGGGAGCTGTTCGACAGCTATCGAAGCCTAGCGCAAATTCGTAGACATTGTCTCGTAGCTCGCGTGGTAGATCAAGAAGGCGGAAAGGCTGTTCAGTGAGGTGAGTGTTCATGATGTTTGGCAGGAATTCTGGTGTAGGAAGGTAGGAGCGTTCAAGGCGCTGAAGTTTGCTTATACACAGCTGACAGTAGCGGCTCGCTTCCACTGCATTCGTCTAGCGCATCGGATGATAAAGTCAGACCCTATTGAACCGAGACAGTCATTGCTCTTAGCTTAGACTGCTGCCTGGGCTTCGGCAATCGCCAACAATGACAAGGCGTAAAAGGCGTAAAAGTCGTAAAGTATTATAGTATTGACAAGGGCGTTACGCAAACTCGTGGCATTCGCCTCTCGGACGGAATCCAGATAATACGCCAATAGGATAACCGCACTGAAGCGCTACAATACATGCCTAAGCAAGCAAGTTTATAACCGTCCCATCCTGATACCCCTCAACGCCAGAACGTCCGCTCGCCGGCATGACCATCAGTGTGCGTCGCAAAGTCCAGATCCATCGTTGGCTAAACCAACGGCTTGTGTCAATTGTTGACAATTCTTACTCAACGCCCTCGACTTTCCTCAGAAACTCCCTGACACGGCCAACCTCCACACCCTCGCCTTCTTCGCTGTCCAGAGCCGCCACCAGGCCTTCGAGACACTCTTCAATCCTGTTCTCTTCTACCTTTGTGCATAGACTGACGACCTTGCGATACATCATCTCCAGTTGCCCATCCTTTTCTTTCAGCATCTTGCTCCGTTTGAGTAGTGCACCGTTCGCATTCGTGTATGTGTGTAGTCGTTGTTGGAGGACGGAGGCGGCGGGGAGTTGCTGGACTGCATAGGCCTGATATTGCGGCTGATGCGATACCTGTTTGAGCGTTGCGGGATCCAGTGGAATGGTTGTCGACAGATAGGGGGCTCCATCTGATGCGCGGCAATCCAGATGGTCGCCTGCTTGCCGGAGCTCGTAAGGCAAGTCGTCTTCCTTGATGAGCATGCCTGCACCTTCCGCATCGGCGTATCCTATCCTCTTCTTCTCGTGCAAATCGATGTCCCCTGCATTGACAGAAAGCATATGCCGTTGTGGCTCAAGCCAACGCTTCAGATTCGATATCCGCTTAGCGCGATCTTGTCGTAAACGTAAACGAGCACGTAGTGACTCCAGCCTTTGTTGCTCCTGCTTCTGTTGAGTAGATAGTTGAGTGATCAGTTCATTCGTTTGATCTATCGTATCTTGTTTCAGACGCGCTTCTTGCGTGAACTGCATTGAAGCAGACTGGAGGATACCATTCATCACTGTAATCATATTAGCGGGATTCTCGTAATAGATACGAATGCAAACTTACAGGGTTGTATCTCTCGGCTGGTCTCTTCGACCTTACTCAAGGGCGCCTTGCCCTTGCTGGGGCTGTTTGCGGCGATTATGACTTCGCCGTCGCCGAGATCGCTGCCAACACCAAAGTCGATCGGTCTCGTGCCTTTGTGATTGGGTATGGTCGGGTCCGCCTGAACTTCCATGAGCTGAGAGATAATGTTGCGATTGCCTATCCTTGCTGCTAGGTTGAGTGCTGTATTGCCGGCTTTGTCGCGTGCGTTGACCATCTCTTGCATAAACCTCATCAATCCTATCGGTTTCGGGTAGTTGCTGGTGTCGTGGAAAGAAGGCACCTGGTTGGCGCCAATGTTGCTGCGTACGAGATACTCAAGAAGTGCCTCGAGGTAGTACTTGCTGGAGGCCGCACGCCCTTTTATGGCACAGGTCACCGCGATGTGATGCAAGATCGTCCGTCCTTGGGAGTCGCGGAGTTCGATAAGTGGCGCCAAGATCTCGAGTGTTTCCGGGAAGCAGCTGTGGTCCAGGCTGTTGTTGACGGAGACTGCACTCATGAGTGGTGTTTGACCTGAGGCATTTCCTCTGAACATGTTGGCTCCTTTGGAAACTAACAGCCTCATCAACGACACTCGGGCCAGTGTCGCGGCCCAATGTAGAGCTGTATTTGAGGTGTTGTCAATTGGCATGTCCAGATCTGCGCCAGAGAGGTGAAGTATGGCTGGATGGTTCGTGAAGTCTGTCCTAGTCTGATCCGCGAATAGATCCGTAAGCATGGCTTGCTTCTCTTCGTTGTGCTTGGTGTCGGGGTGCGGTAGAGGTGGCAGGGCCGAGGGAACCTCGCCATCGGGAAGTGCAATGCGCTGTCCTGTCTGATGTTGGTAGAAGCTCTCGCTTGGTTCTGTCGGCGAGCCAAGATCGCGCATAGACATGTCTGCGCCGTTGGGTTGTGAGTAGGATTCGTCTTGGGATGTTCGCATGCGCTTCCTTGGTGGCTCTTGCGGGTCTTCAAGGCCTGTGCCATAGGCTGAGTCGGTGTGTCCGTTCTGCCCGCTGAAACTACGCTCCGATGCTACACTCTGCTGGCTGCTGGTGCGGAACGATTCCTGGCTGGCGAGAGGTCCCTGTGACGGCCGTGCCATGCTTCTCCGGCCTTGCGAGGAGGATGCGGGTCGCGGTGCGGGTGAATTCAGTCGCGCGACCTTGTTCATGGCGGCAAGTGCGCTGGTGGCTGTCGAGGAGATGTTGCTGAAAAAGGTACCGCCGACACTCTGGCTAGTAGTGCGGCCGTCCATGCTCTGGGTGTAGAAGCGCTTCCTGTTTGCTGCCATGGCCTGCTCTTTGGTGGGCGTCTCGATGCCCTGGCCCTGTCCCTGGTTGCCATCGACGCTGACATCGTAGTCCAGCAGCGGGCGCAAGACGTCCTCGACACCGTACTGGCGACAAAACTCTCTTCCGCGGCGGTAGCAGATCCATGTGCCCTGGTACTTGCCGTAGCCGCCCTGGACCTTTTCGTGTTCGCCGTTCAGTATCTCCTTCTCGAGGACCTTGGTGCGCTTTCCTTTGTCAACACCAGCCACCTTGAGGATCTGGGTGGCATTGAGCCAGCCGTCAGAGCGTCGGCGCATAACAGCGACCCGATTGACTTCCATTTCGTAGACAGAGACGCCCGAGTAAACAGCCTAGATTGTCAGCGACTTGGTGCGACTGCGCAAATGCGGTGGTGGTGGTGCATACGGTGTATATCTGGGGCTTCTCCATGGCGTGCTGCTGGTAGCCGTTCATGTCGGAAAAGGACCGGTTGAAGCCAGCGGGCGCGGCCATGAGTCCCTGGCTGTGTGGAGAGTTGGCGTACATGGCCGACTGGGGCGGCGAACCTGCGGGAAAGGATAGCGACGTGCGCGCGACTTGCATTATGTCAGCGCAGTGCTGGCGGGCGTGGTGATGGTGACTGTACGGGTCAAACGATCATGGGGGCAGGCGCGGACAGAGGCTGGGCGCAGCGTGGGCAGGTGCAGTCGGGGTGCGCAGCCGTGGGCCGCAAGCGGAAGCCTCGGTGAAGGGTGCGATGTGCGATAGGCGATATGCGCCGTATCAGGACTCGATGTTGATATGCGGGTGGGCGGGGGGTGAATGTGCCGTCGCTCGTGGAGACTCTAGAGGAGTGGAGATTCCAGAGGTCGCGTCTACGCGTCGCGGCCAATCAGCCGCCGCCCGAGTTTCCTTGCCCAGAGCACGGCCACGACCCGTCTGCTACCTTCCGGCTCGTCTCCCGCATGCCTACGCCATTTCAGCAGAGCGCGTCACGTCTGCGGCCAGTTCATCTGCTGCGTGCCCTGCTGCGTGAGGCTTCGTACCTGCCCGATGTGACAGCCCGCACCTACTTCCGCCGCTACATCGTCAGCCGATTCAAGGCGTATCAGCCCAAGCAAAATGCGACGGCGTCCTTCGACGTCCAGGCCGTTGAGAAGTACAGGCACAGGAGCTTCAAGAGGCGGCAGATAGCCATTATCAATGAGCGCACACGACCAATGCTCAGGAAAGGGCAGAAGGGCCTGAACTTCCTGCGCCGGGCCAACCTGGGCGAGATACCATGTCTGCAGAAGGTGCTGTTCTTCGCCTATGGGCGCATGGGAAGGAGGAAGTACATCCTGCTGGACAACTTGCTGACGCCAGACCACATCATGGACGGCGGCGCACTCGCAGCGCCCGTCGATCCAGGGCAGGCACCGCTGCAGAAGCTCTATTACAGCAACAAGCGCTATCTGCAGTATTTCGATGCGCCCAAAGCCGCCTCCAAGACCGAGTATACCATCAACATCTCTAGCCGCTACTCCCGATTGCGCGCCGTCCTCAAGTCGCAGTACCAGAAGGGTATCTCCATACACCGAGGGGTCAAGCGTCCAGCCATGAAGACGCCCATCAACAATGTCTGGGAGCGGCCCATGCCGATCAAGCGCGCGGTCAACAACGTCCGACGCTGGTATGCCGAGACTATGACGAGATTACTCCCTCCATTACCGACCGAAGAGTGGGATAATATACATGCCATGGTTGTTGGGCACCGAAAGATCGATTTGGTCAGACGGAGAGGCCGCGCTTCAGTATTGAGTGCTGAGCCAGTCGTAGAAGACGACTTTTTCGCCCGCACAGTAGAAGAAGGTATCGCTTTAGACAAGCCTAGCAGAGCAGACATGCCTGCAGGCGTGCAGCGACCGCATACCATCAATCCTAGGTTCATGAAACGCATGTATACAAAACTCCTCATGCTCTGCTGCAAGGTCGACTACGACGACGAGCAGAAGCGATGGAAAGCAACCTGGGGCGAACCTATGAAGTACATCAAACCCAGCCTCTACAACGTCCCTACAGATGAAACGCTGTTTGCGGGTGTTGATGCTACAGGCAAGATCCCGAAGACGCCCAAGAAGCATCTGCTGGAGAAATCACAGCATGTCCAGCCACGGAATGCCGAGGGCGAGTACATGCGTTTTCCCTTCTTTGCCGAACGGCTTCCAGAGGAGCACCCAATACGCAGGGAATTGGATGAGTGGAAGAGGAAACGTGCTGCTGCGAGAGGACAAAAGCGGGAAGTGTCGTAGCCCTGGAGGCGGGGCACTACCCCACAACCTTGGAACGCGATTTGTGGGGCGCGTCTTACATGCACATAAAGTAGGCAGCACTTAGCACCATACTTTGACCGTCACAGTGCATTGAGCAACGTTTTGACAAGCACGATGGCATCTTCAAGCGCAACAGTTCGCCACGCGACCCGTGAAGGTAGAGTATCCCCACCTTACCGTAGAAGCCTACTAAAAGCCTGTGCAGATGTTCCCACCATCCTAGCCCTTATCAAGGAGCTGGCGCTCTACGAAAACGCCAGTGACAAGGTTGACTCAACCGAAGAAATCCTGACACGCACCCTCGCACACTACGATCCTTCCACATCGACCTTCTCCGAAGGCTTCGCCCGTACACTCCTCCTGAGCGACCCCGACGGCACGGTAGCAGGCATGGCTTTATACTTCTACAACTACAGCACATGGACAGGCGTGCCAGGCATCTACTTGGAAGACCTCTTCGTCAAGGAGAGCTACAGGAAGAAGGGCTATGGCAAAAGACTTCTTAAGGAGCTCGCTGGAGAGGTGCTCAAGGTCGGAGGTAGGAGGCTCGAATGGAGCTGCCTGGACTGGAATGAGCCCAGTCTGAAGTTCTACGAGAGCGAGATCATAGGGGCGCAAAGGAAGACGGCATGGGTAGGCTTGCGTGTGGATGGAGACGCATTGGAGAAGCTTGCAAAGTCGTAATCTTGAGAGACAAGAACTTATCTGATGCTTGCTGAGACTTGGCTCTATTCTTGTTTGCTCCTGTTTGCTCGAGGAACAGCCACGTGAACACGCGTAACCAGGTCCGTGCGCTGCAATCGTCATAACGTCTTACAACAACGACTGCACATGTACTCTTTACCTCTCACGCCCCAGTCAACTCAAATTACAGCTCCCTATACTTTGTAACTCGCAACAGCACCATGGCCAGCCCACCCTTCATGGTCGAATCGGCTGAGATCGACAGTTGTTGGGAGCAGCTGCGCAAGTGAGTTAGCATGAATGTAACGCAATCTGGCAGCAGTACTAATACACCACAGACTACTAAAGCACGAGTACGAACAAACTGCGCTCAACGAGATCCAACAATCTGTCAACCTACACGAAGGCCTTGACGATATCCTTCACCTCATTACCGACGCGGATGGTTCCCCGATACCCACTATCGATAGTATCAAATCAAATTTGGGAGTTGCCCGGGATGTCAACAAGGACATCAAGGAAGCTACAAAAGCCTACAATGTCGCTGTATGCCGTACAATCGGACCTGCCGTGTACGGAAGATTACCCCGAGAACTCCGCGATATGATCTACGAGTATTTGACTACGCGTCTAACGTATATCTGCTTCGAAGATGTAAAATTTGTCTTGGACAATGCCAATACGTATTCTATCTGCCCAGAGCACTACTGGCGAGCCGATGTCATCGGTTCTGAAGTAGCTCATGAGCTCAGAGAATCTTGGTACCGGGACACTACGTTCTATGTCGAGCGCGATCAGTCCACCGAGTATCTGGTCAGCAAAGACTATTTCAACGCAGGTCTGGAACCCCGCGAACTCATCACCGACCTCATACGACGACTCTGGATCGAGGAAAGACAGACAGAAGCAGCAAACGCGCAGATCCTGCGATATCTCGACGAGCTGTTCCTGTTGAGGACAGTTACACATTTATGTGTTGATTTGAACATGTCTAACGTCAGGCTCATTGACAAGGGTAGGATGTTCAGGGGAATTCTGCAGCTTATACGTCCGACGATTCTACGTCTGCGAAGATCAGGTTATCAATGTAAAATCACAACGAGCGACGACCGATTTGGGGAAGGCATGTTTCTTGGTACTATCAAGCAGTGGGAGGACGAGCTTGGAAGGGAGATCGAGAGGGGCGATAGTACTGCGCGAAGCGGTGTCTAGGCGGAAGGGAGAGGACCTGCCGTAACAGGAAGAAGGCAAGGTATATCCCCAATTGCGTTCTCGAGTTTTCTGGGCTCAACCAGAATATACCGAGGAGCGTAGGAGTGCCCATCGGTTAAAGATTGCGATAACGTAGTGGACAACCATGACTCATGGGTGACAACCAGTTTTGTACTTGGTTTGAACTTGGAGGTCGAATTCCATTTACACAACAGTGGCCACATCACGTCTGGTACCAAGGCCATCCATATCCCAGAAGACATATCTTTCATCTCGCTATTTCCTCTACTATGCTCAGCTGCGATTCGAACAACATGAGTCCAGCTTACGTATACCTCTAGGTCCCTCTCGTCAACAATCACCGACGGCAAACTCACTCATGAAAAACATCGAATGCCCAACTTTCTGCCTTCGGTTTTCGGAATCCATCGTTGGCCGGCCCGAGATGAATTGAGGTTTCGGGGGGCTCGGAAGTCTTGGGCCGCAGAAGGACCGACCCGTCAGTATAGACCAAGATGAGTACGCGTGGATCATGACGGCAACTCAAACGATCAACAGTGTGCGAATGTAGTTTCGCAAGGCGGAATATGGTGGGCTGGCGATACACAGGATTTCTTTTCAAGTAGGAAGATGCGGAAGTGAATGAAGTAAACGTGCGCGCTAATTACAACATGACAGACACAACGACTGGAAGAAGGATTTCATTCTACGACCATGTTCACGAGATACCATAGCAAAAGTAGGGGCCACTACCCATTCATAATAGCAAGGTACAAGGTAGCGGGTATCTTTACCTAGAGTGTCCGGCATAATACCCAATCTACGAGTTTCCTCGTGGTAGCCAGCCGGACTTTGCACCGCACCATCGCACGACATGCGGTTGATTAGTTTAAGACTTTCCCATTCGAGCCGATGACAAAGGAAGAGGCGGCTTAGAGGGCATGTCGGGTTCCACAAAATTCAGCCACGAGCTGACAACTCCAGAAATCACAAGGATTGGGGGTATTCTCTCCGCTTCGGAAACATCACCGGTCCGAAGCCGATGAAATGTAGATTAACGGGGAACTTACTTACCTTTTTTAGGCATAGCAAGTCGAACGGAATATAGAAGCCTCACTACTGAATCGAGTCAGCTATGCTGACCACTTACTTGATTGCGCTGTCCTTGCGAATAACCTATCTCGGACAGGTAGGACCTTGTGTGCTAGCAAGGTAACACACGGCTGAGCATGTACTGACAGTCAGAAGGTAACGGCCCTTCTGGTCGGATTCGGACGCTGACACACTTCCACGGCTGGGATTCAGGCCTCATGGACAGGTTCAAGAATATCTGCACGCGTAGACATGGGGTAGTCAGTATATATGAGGAAGCTGCTCATCGATGTTAAGACACCACCAACGAACATCTCAGCTTCCAAATCTCCACCACAATCGTTACCGCCAGTATGCATTCTCAGTTCATTTCTCCCCGGATCGGGAAGAGTGCCATGCTCCTCCTGCTCTCCTCCTATCTTTCGAGCTACGCATTTGCGACGGCAGTCCCCGAATCCGTCGACGTTGCCGTGATAGGCGCAGGACTTTCCGGGTTGACAGCAGCGCGAGACCTTCTCCACGGCGGTAAATCCGTCATCGTGCTCGAGGCCAGAGACCGTGTGGGCGGTAAAGTCTACAATCACCCACTGAAGAATGGGGGCGTCACGGAAGTGGGCGCCGAGTTCGTCGGCCCAACGCAAGACAAAGTACTGGAGATGATTTCCGACTTGGGACTACAGACATTCGACACCTACAGCGAAGGGAAGTCCATCTTATGGAGGAACGGCACTAGAACGGCTTATACCCCTGATCCGGCACTTGGTGGCTCACCGCCAGTGGATATGGAGTCTCTCCCTCTGGTCGCAAGTGCGCAGAAGCAATTGGATGACTGGGCAGCTGAGGTCAACACAAGTGCACCCTGGACGCATCCGAAGGCCAAGGAACTTGACAGTATGACATTCCAGCAGTACATTGATCAGGCAGCACCCCACGCGGACGCCGCCTTCGTCTTGACCTCAGCCAGCAAGGCCATCTGGGCTGCGGAGCCACGAGAACTCTCAGTCCTATATGTGGTCGCATACATCGCAGCAGGCGGAAACGAGACAAATGTCGGAACACTGGCTCGACTAATTGGCATCCAAGGCGGAGGTCAAGAGAAGCGAGTCGTAGGCGGAACAGGACTCATTCCAGAGCGTCTTGCCGAGAAGGTCGGACACGAACACATCGTCATGAACGCCGCCGTATCAACCGTCACCAAGGCATCCAATGGCTACAAAGTAGTATCCCGAGCCGGAACCGTCCACGCAAAGCAAGTCGTCCTCGCCATGGCGCCTCCCCTCCTCCGTCAAATCACCTTCTCACCCGCCCTCCCCACCGCCCGCCAACAGCTCAACCAAGCAATGAAGATGCCATCCATCGGCAAAGGCATCCCCATCTACAGCACGCCCTTCTGGCGCAAAACCGAAGGCCTAAACGCCCAAGTCATCTCCGACAATGGTTCCACACGCGTAACCTTCGACTCCACACCCGAAGACAACAAATTCGGCGCCCTCCTTGGCTTCCTCCTCGGCGACGAAATGCGCGCGCTCGACGCCCTCAGTCCCGCCGAATGCGAAGAGAAGATCCTGTCAGACTACGTGAGGTATTTCGGCGAGGAAGCAAAGACCAACACGGAGTTTGTGTTGCAGCGCTGGGACTTGGAGGAGTGGTCCAGAGGAGGACCTGTGGCGGTTGCTCCACCCAATGTGCTCACAAAGTATGGTCAGGCGCTGACGATGAGGGCCGAGGGGTTGCATTTTGCGGGCACGGAGACGAGTCCGTATTGGACTGGATATATGGACGGAGCTATCCGGAGTGGGGAGCGTGTTGCTGAGGAGATTATGGGTATGGGGTACTGAGACTTGCCAGGATTGGAGTAGTAGTCATGGTGGTGGTAGTGGTAGTGGAGGGGTTACATCGTGATCTTGCCGTTCAAATCTGTAATTAGAAACCTACTTCTGTCTCCAGATCATCTTTAGTAAAGCAAATGGGACACTCTTTCCAGCAAAACGGGGTCGTGTCATACTTTGGGTCGCCAGAAAGCAGGAGTCTAGGTTCTTAGTTCCCAGCGCCATATCCGGGGAAGGTGTGCGTGATCGACAGGCCCGCGCGGAATATACTTTCAGTAGCTGGGGTTGCTAACCTGCGAATTGCTTACTTTGACGCCAGATCGACATGTCACGGTGAGCCTCGGCTCCACCGTACACCATGAGGTTTGTGTATAATAGGAAGCTGTAGGATGTGGTATTTGCTTTTTTATCATCACAGTATCATTCTGACTCGTGCCTTGCTCTTACCATCTCATATTCGCTTTGAACCACCGATTCAATCGCAAAATACTTCACCGACATCATGCACTTCTCACTTCCCCTCCTTCTCCTCCCCGCCATTGCTTTCTGCGCGCCTGTTGCGGAGATCTTGCCTACGGCGCAGGATGTGATTCAGTCGGTGGTCAACATCCACAGCGCTGTTCTCGAGCTCGATCAGAAAGTACAAGCTTTCCAGGGTGGCTCCTTCGAGACCGCCTTTGTAGAAGGCAAAGAAGTGCTCGCTGGTGTAGCGAAGATCCACGAAGTAAACCGCGAAGGGTTCCGACGAGCAACCCTAGCTCTACCGCCATTCTCCATCAAGGATACTACCGATCTGATCAACACGGTCGTAGCGACTGGTAAGTTATCATCACGGCCCTTCCCGCACAGACAAAATGCTAACACTTG